TAATTTAAGTAATAATTTCTAATTTGTACTACAGACTATTAAATTGATTTACTGTAATACTATAATGATAAAATATAATAATTAATAATAAAATAATACAGATATAAATAAATAAGATAATAAAATATATAAACATATAAATAAATAATTAATAAATTTAAAAATAAAATAGAGATAACATTATATAATTGTAAGATATAGCTTCAGTGAAACATTGTTCGTTTTCAGTTATATCGTTTAATAAACCTAGTGCACATGTTGTATCTTGGAAGGTCGAGTATATCACTACATTTACTTTTCGTAAATCTTTAAAAGACCTGGTTGCATGGCAATTTAAAAGAATAAGAAAATAATACTTTTTATTTACACATGAATACATTATATTCATTCACGTTATGTACAAATGACTTTGTTTGTAAAGTTTAACTATTCATTGTTGATATCCTTCTCATTTTTTTTCTAAATAAGTACCTGGAGGAAGTGAACATTGATCAATTGATTTGTCCGCATAACTAAAATGATATAGCTCATTATATTTACAATAAGTAAAGTTATCAAATTTGGGATTCAATGGATGGAGAAAATAGCATTGCAAAGTAGAGAGGATATCACTATTACCATGTAAAATGGTTCATTCTTTGGATAAATAAATCAGTAAACACATTATAGATGATAATCGTGAAGTTATCTTGTATTTAAAAATACACCAAACTGCTTCTATCAACAAAAAATAACATACATTAAGGTAGTCTTTAATTTCATCAATCTTTTTATGCCCTGATTTATTTTCATCTTCAATCTGAATGGTAACTATCAACTGATTGGATCCTTTGTATATGTACTTGTAATGATAAGAAATAACATATGACATAAAAGCTACTTCGATGTTTATGTGTAAATTTAATTTGAGTAAGAGAAAAAAATTATATGGTACAACATTGTAGTTATTTTCAGTGTGGTATCAATAATGAACATAACCTTGTTCATCAATTATGGTATGTTCTTGTATTGTTTGAAAATAATTCCAATAGCACCAGTTGTTCTGCCTTATGCATCTTCAACTACATTAATAAATCGTAAACCTTTTTACCAATTCGTAAAGGAGATTCTGTTAAGAGTATACATGTTTTCAAAATTGATTTTGAATTTTTGAGGTATTTCGACTTTTTGAGATTTATGCAAAATCCATTCTATATATGGAAGTAAAAAAAGTATCCAGTTATATGTATCTTTAATTAAAGAATAAATCTGGGTGGTCAAAAAATTTTGGGTTTTAAGTAAAATAATTTTGTCTTCTATGAAAAACTATTTCAACTTTTTTTCCCGAAATTGCAATTTCGGAGCTCCAAAATAATTTTGCATGCAAGTATAGTTAAGAGCTGTTTCTTATAGGTAGTTCTGTACTTATTACTTTATCAATATCTTCAGGCAGAAGTAAATTTGGTATCGATTTAAATATAATATGTACATGTAATAAGCTACATTTTTAGAATTCGATGGCATGCATATAGTAGATAATTTTTCCAAAATTTTTTTTAACAATTTCTGTAAATAGACTAAATATTGTTTAAACACATGTACAATGATATCAGGTCAATTGACGTAGTTTTGACCAGTATGCAGTTTTTGTCATATTTCTGGCCAATTTGAATTTGTTGTAAAGGTAATAAAAAGTGCTGGCTAATCAAGTTTACTTATAACAGCGAGAGCATCTATTGTTTTTTTGTAGGACTATCTATACAAAAGCATATGTGAAGCTGACAAATAAATATTGTCAGAGTACAATTCCACTTCATCACTTAATGACTTGTCTTCTTCTTGACCTCCTTTTTAAAATCTACATTTGTTCTCTACATATAAATTGCAGGCATTCGTTATTTACTCTTCTGAACACATCCACTAAGTATTCAGTAAGTAGACAACCAAGTAGATGAAATCTAGTTCAGTCATAATATGATAATAATAATAGTTAACCTGTGAAATTTTCTGCAAATTGTGATGTTCATCTATCCAGTATGCATGCCAACTAATCTCACCATACAGAAAAAAAAGTGGTTATTGCAATGCTTCATAATGTTTATTTAGAATATTAACATAATCAGATTTATTAAATTTTCAATCATTACATAGTGTAAATAAAGGTTTGTTTTTATCTGTAAATTAATTCTTTTATAATTCAATATTTTAGATGTTAATTATTGAATATTTTACAATTTAGTTTTATTTTTAAAAATTCTATTTTAAACAATTAATGCACTCTAAATTTAAATATTACACCTCTAAACAGTATTTTAAATATTTATTAAAAGGAGCAATTAAATATATGAATTATGCAACATAATATGAATTTTCAAACAAAAATAGTTGCATATGTGCAGTATTTTTATTGAAAATGGTTTATTAAAATGATTGATGTAAAAAATAATGCAATTACAGTATATATTAAAAATTATTGGTTGAATGTTTAAAATAAGATTATCTTGGATAAGTAAAGATCATTGAATTTGAATATAAAAAGATATATATTCAAATTGTCTCAAATTATTTTCACTTTCAGTTGATTTCAAGCACCGCTCCAGTAGTATGTAATAACAGTAACCAAGATTAAATTTTTCCAAATAGTTTTTCTCTTCAGCTGAACTAAGTACTTCTGAAATACTTTTTTCCATAATCTTTTGCAGTTCCAAGGTTAGATTATGACGTGTAATTCAATCCTGAGACACTAATTTGCTGACAGGTGACAAGTTGTAATTCTCATAGAAATAAATTTATTTATTAACAATTTTATCTAATTTATTAATTTCTCTTCGCTGACATTGGGATCAGATCCATCCTCAGGTTAATTAGTATTGTGCAACAATTGGTCATTTCATTAGGATCAAATCTATCCTCTGGTTTAATAAATATTGTATAAGTGTTGTAACACAATTGGCATGCTTTCTGTCATTAGGATCTTCCTAATATTGTATCACTATCAACAATTGTCATTCTTTCTGTCATTAGGACCAATTCCATCCTCAGGTTTAATAATGATTGTTCTAAATAAATATTGTACAAGTATTGTGCAACACTTGTCATGCTTTCTGTCATTAGGATCATCCTAATATTGTACAACAACTGTCATGCTAGAATGTCATTAGGACCAAATCCATCCTCCGGTTAAATAAATACTGTACTAGTATTGTGCAATAATTGTCATGCTTTCTGTCATTAGAATCAAATTGGATCCATCTTCCGGTTTAATAAATTGCAAATGGATTTTGAAAATTCACTCATACCACTAGAATTGCTGGAATTCTGAAACCCCAATTAATTAACAAACTCATTGAGAATAAAATCTTGAGTTTCTGTCAGTTTTAAATATACGAAATAGGTGAAGCATGCGAATAAAAAACTTAAGAAATATATGAAAGAATTTTATTAGGAAATATTGTGAGCAATATTTAAAAGTTTGACAATAAACACCTTTCAAAAAAATTCTTATTAAGTGCGAATTGTTTTATTTAATTTTTTTTTAATTTGAAGCTTAATAACGATGAAATTTAGTAATACATACGTAATAATTATGATAAATGATAACCAAAGTTTATAAATATCTTTTAAGAATAAAAAAACTTTTATTAAAAATAATAAATCAAATAATTACAATAATAATAACATAACTAATATATACTTTTTTACTTTTATACTTTGTTCGCTTAATACTTCTTGATTTAACATATTAATAGCTTCATCCAAGGCAAAGATTTTAATATTTTCTTTTTAATCAAGTAATATTTCTATCTCTATTATTACTACTACAACTATTACGGGTTACTTCAGCTGTGGTTACGGGTTTATATTTTTTCATTTTACCATTGTTTGATGTTTTCGAATTTAAATATATCCAAACTTTTATTGTATAAATTAATAAAATGTTTGAAATTCCTTATGTATAATAACAAGTAGTAGTTTGGAAAATTATTCAATATAAGAACTTCATTTTGTGTCCGTCTATAAATTATTATATTAGTATAAGCCATCATCTACAGAATTCATGTATTTATTATAATAAATTATTAATCCACCATTTAATCATGATGTCTAAATTTTTCGTAATTTCATTTTGGATAAATGGCAATTGTTACACAATATTTGTAAAATATTTATTAAACCGGATCTTAATTGCAGAAAACATGACAATTGTTGTACAATATTGAGACGATCCTATGACAGAAAGTATGACAATTGTTGCACAATACTTATACAATATTTATTAAACCGGAAGATGGATGTTATAATATTTATTAATCCGGAGGATGGTACAAAATTTATTGAACCGGAGAAATGACAGAAAGCATGAAATTTGTGCTTCAACATCGGTTTCTCTGATCACAGCACACAGAGAGTAGCTACCAGTTATATTGTAAAGAAATCAAATGCAGTAAATTATTTCATCGTATCAAAAAAATGATGATTAATAATATTTTAATTTAATTTTATTATTTTAATTTATTTCCTTTATACTTATTTATTACGAAATGACCAAAACATTTCCTATGAAGAAAAAAAATCATCATTATCGCACGAACACAAATGATCTCAATGTCAAATAAAAAGAACTTGCCTCATAGTTCTTCAACAGCACGAAAAAAAAGAGATTTTTCCACGGATTATATACATCTTACCAACATAAATAAATAAATCCACTTTTCATGAATAAAGCATAAATTTTTCAAAAAGAATATATCAAAGATAATTTTATTTACAAAATAAAAGAATAACATTCAAGAAATAAAATGAAAGCAAAATATTTTTGAAATATAAAAACAAAATGATTAATTAAAAAAATCAAGTTTATATCCATCGTATAAATAATATAATTTATAGTGTGTTTGTTTAAAAAAGTCAATTTCTATTCCATCATATAAATTATATAATTTATATTGATTTCTTTCAAATCCTATTGGAGTAGGAATAATTTTCGATTTTACATCAAAACCAAAACCCGGTGGTGGAGGAGGAGATCGAGTGGAGTTTTTGTTGAATCGCTCAACAAATAGTGAAGCGAGTTTTCCCGTCTTAGCATATTCTGTCAAGCATTTTAACCAAAAAGAATATTTTTTCCCCACCAATATGAATCTTGTAATTTAAAGATTCAATAAATTCGATTTCCAACTTATTAATTTCATTAAGAGGGATATGAGTTAAATCGGACCAAGTTTTATTCTTATAGACTGGTTCGTTATGCCACTTATGCGCCACCATTAGAGCGATCGTAAAAAGTTGATATTCATCTTTAAAGTTTGCTGTGTTCCCTCTTTTCATGTACTTTTGTACATACTTAATTGCGATGAAGACAGTCTCTTTTGAAATTTTTACGTTCAATATTGTCTAAAATGTTCCAAAAAGATATTAGGTATTGGATATTAATTTTTATGGGTCCTTTATTACTTTATAATAATGATATAAATACCTCAATGCAAAAATTTTTAAAGCGTAAATTAGTGATATTGCAATTGCCAATTTTCATTAAGCTCCACATTAATATGATAATATCTGCCATAAAACTGCCCAAAGCATATGATGTTGGTGCAGTTTTTTTAAAGAAGTTACAGATGATAAGGTCTTGCATTTTTATAAATTTAAGCTATAAGTAGTGTAAGGAAAAAACAGATATAACGCGATTTAAAGAAATCAAATAATTCTTGAAGTAACAGCGAATTATTTTAAAGCAAAAATTACCTTGTTTTATTAAATTTAAGAAGAAATGTGAAGAGTTTTTTTTTTTTTAAAAAAATGAATGTTGATCGTGTGATCAATAAAACTTGTGATCTCAAAAATAAAGGATTTTCATATCAATTTGCGAAATCAAGAAATACAGAAACTTAATGATAAACGTAATAAAAAGATAACATATGATATTATCTAACTTTTATTCTGCTTGCCAAAAATTTCTAAATATGGATTTTGTCTATGGGTTTCACGAAAAAACTTTGCTAATAATTATTAATTATTAGTCTAATTAGTTATAATTAATGATTCTTAGTTGATATGCTCAAGCTAAATTAAGTAGATGGGCTGAGGAACATTTTTTTCTCGACTGAAACAAAGTATAGTAGTATAGTAGAAGCATGAGTCAAATATCATGTGTTATCATATTTTCACATTGTATCAAATTTTCTTCTACAACATTCGATAATATTTTCTCTAAGATTCTTAATTTTTTGGTTTCACAAGATTTTTAATATAATAATATGAAAATCTTTGATTTTTTTTTTGGATCACAAGAAAATTCGTTTTTATTATATATCTGATGGATTGTCGGGAGCAAATTTGCCTGCTAAACAGTAGCATGTGAAGACCCAACAATCAATCGGATAGTTATTATACTACAATAATTAGAAAACTCGGAGTCAATAAACTATTAAATAATATTTATGAATAATGAATTGATTATTATTTAAATAATTGTAACTATTAAAAATAAACCGGTATTTTTTTTTAATATTTTAATTTGTTTGTTTGTTTGTTTATTGTTATTATAGAGTAATTATTAAGATCATTATTAAGTAATTTTTAAGCATGTTTGACTGCTGGAATAATTTCATATTTTACTCAGCCGATGATCGGCAATTGAGAGTATATTTTATTATAGTTATTATTATCCAATCTTTATTCTACATACAAATAGTTTTTGATTATTAGTCTGATGTAATTGTTAGTTGTTATTAATGATTAATCTATTTTACTCAAGCTGTTAGATTGCTAAATTTGAAATGAATTTTTTTTCAACCGAAACAATGTATAGAATATAAAGAATATGTAATTACTATTTTTTTTTTTTGATAATATCATTAAAGTATTAAATATTTATTGATGAGAAAAAAAAAGTATAATAATATGAATATGAATCATAATTACTAAATTTGGCATTGGCTGAGCTGAAAAAATTATTGATTCATTCAATATATTTCTTCACAAGGACAATATACAACCTTTATTCTACTGGCCAAAAATGCATGGGTTTCGGAACAACCGTTTTGTTAATAATTATTGATTGTTGATCTGATGTAATCCTTAGTTATTATTAATAATTAGTCCGATATACTCAAGCTGTTAAGTTGCTGAATTAGGTAGATTGGCAATTGTTTTTTTTTTCAACCGAATCATATGATATGCAATAACTAATTTTTTTTTTTATAATATTAAAGTACCAAAATATTTATTGGTGAGAAGCGAAAAAGGTAACAATATAAATCAACATTATTAAATTAGGGGTTAGGCTGAGCTGAAAAATAACTGATTATACTGGCCAAAAATAGATTCTGGACATGGGTTTTGCAAAAAAAAAAAAATTTTTTTGAAAATAATTATTGATTATTAGTCTGATGTAATCCTTAGTTATTATTAAACTGCTAAATTGCTAAATTAGATAGATTGGCTAATGGAGTTTTTTTCAACCGAAACAAGTATAACAGATTTTTTTTAATAATAGATAAAACACAAAAGTGTAATAATATAATTTGTAATTTATTACTTGGCATCAGTGAGCTGAAAAATAACTGGTTCATTTAACATTTATTTTTTTACAAGGACAATATATGACCTTTATTCTACTGGACGAAAATGAATTTTGGACATGTGTTTCGCAAAAAAAATTTTTCTAATAATTTTTTTTATTAATAATAAATCTGATGTACTTAAGCTGCTAATATTAATGAAATATTTATTGATAGGAAAAACAAAAAAGTATAAAAAAAGGGAGAATAGAAGAATTTCGTAAAAAAAATTTAATCGAAAACTTTCCTAAATTTCTAAAATATTCAATTCTTTATTATATTAAAACAAAATTATAAGAGAAAATTCAATTCAAAAATAATTTTCAATTCATTTTATATTAAAACAAAATTTCTACAAACGAATTTTAAAATGGTTTCATCAAGCCAACAATCCCAACAGCAACAATTCCAACAACAACAGTCCCAACAGCAACAACCACCACAGCAACAACAGCAACCTCAACAGATCCAACAATTTCAACAGCAACAACATCAAAGACAACTTCAATATCAATTGCAGCAATTTGGCAGATATTATATTCAAGAAAACTGCCAGCCTCCATTAGTGATGGAGCAACTTAAGTTGCCAAAATATTACCATCAATTTAAAATTGAAAATAGGCAATTGAAGGTATAAAAAGTTCATTTTTGGAATTTAAATATTTGATTTTTTTTTATTTCTTTCACTAATTTCAATTTTTTTTTATAGCTGCAACAAGAACAGCAACGAAAAAACCATAATCCTATTGGTGTATTACAATATCAACAAGGGATTCGAAGAATGTGCCAAAGAAGGTTGCAACAATCTAATCAGCAACCACCACAACAACAACAACCACAGCAACCACAACAACAGCATCGTCCAAACTCTAATAATAATATCAACAATGATGCTGATAACAATAATGATAATAATAATCATACCAATGATAATAATACTAATAATAATAATGATATCAATAATACTAGTAATAATAATGATATCAATAATGTTGCTGTCGAAAATAATGAAAATAATGATAATAATACTAATGGTAGTAACAATAACAAGAGGAGCCGAGGTAAACATATTTTCCTTTACATATTTATATTTTTTTTCTTAAAAAAAAATTGAAATTAATCCTAATTTATTTTATATAATTAGATGACGATGACGATGATAATAATGTTGCTCTTGACAATCATGTCGGAAAGAAACAAAAACTTTAAAGTGTTTTTTTTATTTTTTAATTATTATACTTTGAAATTATTTTATAAATTATCAATTTTATTACTTTCAATGTATAAATTTAAATAAATGATAATTAAATATAAATATAAGATGATAATTCATAATGGAATGTAATTAAAGATATAAAATTAATCTAATTCAGTTTCACTCAAAAATCTATGACTAACCATCGTAAAGATATTTTTTGTTTATACTTCTGAAACATTTATTATTGATTGCACAAGCTACAATATTGCATAATATTATTCTTGTGTTTTTATATTTATTTTTATTTTCGCTTATTTTTTTTTCTTTAAAAGATTCCTATAATAATGATATTTTCTAGTTACGTATTAAAATTGATAATGGTGGAATGTGATTTTGAACAATAAAGAGTATTATTATTTGTTGTAAAAAATGAATCAATACGACAACATTAATATTGATCCGGAATCATTAAAACATATTATTAATAAAATAAAAGTAAAAATCTTAAGTTGTATTTTTGTTTAGTTTTTTTCTTTTAACTTGGTAAACTAAGTTGATCATTTTAAAAGAAACTAGAGAAGGATTAGATTGCATGTTCATATGATGTATTGAATTTATTCAATTTATTATACATTAAATATGCGAATATTATAGATCCATAAGTAATCATTAAAATATAAATCATCACAAAATAAAGTAATTCGAGAAAATAATATAAATTATAAGAGATTGGAAGATATAAAAAATGGTCGAAAATACATAAAAATTAGGCAAAGAAATAAGAAATAAGAAATAATGAAAAAAGTTTTTTTTTTTTAAAACAAACATCATAATTGACTTGACATTTTTTATCTTTTATTGTCTCGATTAATCATCATGTAATCTTTCGTAATTGTGACAAAATTAATTGATAATTGTTTTTTAATTTATGATTAGACTCCTAACAACTTAATTTAAATACAGTAAATACTAATAATAATAAATAAATGTAATAAATTGATAATAGATAATCAAAATACTCACTCACTGGGATATAACAGATATAAAATTTATATTCTTATTTGATAATTTAAATACCTATATTATATATTCCATGAAAGTCCATATAACATTGTTATAGGCAAAAGAATGTTGAAATTTTTTAATTCTTATCACTTATAAATAAATTAATTTTAATCATTAGATAATATAACTATTATATTTATGATAAATGCATTTTAATCAATTATAAAATTTTTATAATATTGTAAGACAAAAATGAGAAAAATTTAGAGTGTAAAAATTAATGTGAAATGGCAAGTTCATAAAGTAATATCAAATTTAGTTGAGTAATATAATAATTAATGCAAGTAATATCAAAGATGACAAAAATCTTATGAATTAGTTCTTGGAATTTCAATATTATATACTTCATGAAATAGAATTGTTCCAAGTCATCAAATGAGTACACCAAATAATTTGCTGCTTTCGATTTTTCTTCATCGGTTATGTCACACTTAACACTAATAAGCAATTAAAATATTCATTAGTTCTTCATTTAAAATACCATAAATCTATATTTATATAATCTTATACTTACAGTTCATCTGATTTTTTGTTTTGGGAATTCTTATAACAAATTGAGTTGCTTTCTCTATTTTCACAGTTGCCATTTGCATATATTTCTTCATATTTGTCATCGTATCTTTCTTCATCATTATATTGATTATCGTCTCCTTGTTTATTCATCTTCTGATCACGAATTTTTAAGAACGGAAGTATTGGCAGTTCTTATGATCTACTTGAGATTACATATTCATAGCCTGTTTTACTTCATCAGGAAACTATTGGAGAACTTTTAAAAGGTTTGTTGCATTCACTAAGTGGACGTTGAGAATTCCCTAGATATCAGAATAAAATATTAAATATTTATAATATATATATATAACTAATTTAATAAACAAAAATAACAACTGTTTGATACTAACAGATAGAAGAAAGTGCACTGGCTTCATGAGATAAGAGTGTTGGACGTTTTTTAACATTAGTTCTTTTTTTATGAGCTTCTTTTTTTTCGCTTTCATTATTTTGGTGTTCGTTGGGTTGACTGTAAATACAAATGGTTAATAATCTCTTTAGTATGTTTTATTTTTAAAGGAATACATAAGAATATAAATGCATACAAATGGTTTTTCCCACTGAAACTTTATGAATATCACGACCATTACAACACCATCGGGAGTACTTATGTGTTTGTACATTATAATTAATTACTGATAACAATTTTTTTTTTAATTAAAAACTTATACTTTGATATTTAAAAAGATTAGCTAATATATTTGATAAAATTTGTTTAGTTACTACTACAATTATCACGAATTACTTCAGCTGTGGTTACAGGTTTATATTTTTCCATTTTACCATTGTTTTTGCTTTCGAATTTAAATACAATACTGTATATCCAAACTTTTATTGTATAATTTATAAATTATTTGAAATTACTTATGTATAATAACAAGTAGTAGTTTGAAAAACTGTTAAATATAAGAACTTCATTTCGTGTCCGTCTATAAATTATTATATCAGTATAAGCCGTCATCTACAGAATTCATGTATTTATTATAATAATTTATTTAGTCCACCATTTATTAATGATGTATTATTAAATCTAAATTTTTCAAATCCCATAATATCATTTTGTCAATATTTATTAAACCGGAGGATGGATTTGATCCTAAATGACAGAAAGCATGACAATTGTTGTACAATATTTAAAACTGGAGGATGGGATAGAGTTGATCTTAATGTCAGAAAGCATGACAATTGTTGCACAATATTAAGATGATCGTAATGACAGAAAGCATGACAATTGTTGCACAATACTTGTACAATATTCATTAAACCGGAGGATGGGTAGTACAATATTTATTAACCTGAGGATAATACAAAATTTATTGAACCGGAGAAATGATAGAAAGCATGACAATTGTTGTACAATATCAATAAAATGTACATTTAACATCTATTTCTCTTATTACAGCACCCAGAGAGAAGCTACCAGTTAAATTATAAAGAAATCTAATACAATAAATTATTTCATCATATCAAAAAATGATAATTAATAATATTTTAATTTAATTTTATTATTTTAATTTATTTCCTTTACACTTATTTATTTATTACAAAGAAAAAAATATCATCATTATCGCACGAACGCAAATAATCTCAATGTCAAATAAAAAGAACTTGCCTCATGGTTCTTCAAACAGGACAAAAAAAGAGTTTTTCCACAGATTATATACACCTGACCGACATTAATAAATATATCATCCACTTTTCATGAATAAAACTTAGAGAGATATATAAAAACATGACAATAAATAATAAATTTTTTCAATAGAATATATCAAAGATAATTTTATTTACAAAAATAAAAGAAACAAAGAATTTTAAGAAAATTAGAAATGACATCAAGAAATAAAATGAAAACAAAATATTTTTTGAAAAAATGTAAAAATAACATTGAATTTTTTCACTTCAATAATGATTAGATGAATATCAAGTTTAAAATCTTCGTATAAATCATAAAATCTATATTGAGTTTGTTCAAAAAAATCAAGTTTAAGTCCATCATATAAATAATATAATCTATATTGAGTTTTTCGTTCATATGGTATAACTTTCGATTTAAGAGCAAAACCAAAACCTGGTGGTGGTGGAGGAGATCGAGTGGCGTTTTTGTTGAATCGTTCAATAAATAATAAAACGAGTTTTCCCATCTTAACATATTCCGTCAAATATTTTAACCAAAAAGAATATTGATCCTACTGATATGAATCTTGTAATTTAAAAACCAAGTTTTATTCTTATAAACGAGCTCGTTGTGCCACCATTAGAGCAATCGTAAAGAGTCGATATTCATTTTAAAGTTTGCGGTGTTCCTCAATTCATATGCTGTTGTAAATATCTAATTGCTGGGAAGACAGTCTCTTTTGTTATTTTTATGTTCAGTACTGTCTAAAATGATCAAGAAAAGGTACCAGAGGTAAATCTATATAGGTCTTTTTATTACTTTATAATAAATAATGATATAAATACCTATTTCTAAAGTGTAAACTAGTAGTACTGCAACTGCCAATTTTCATTAAGCTCCACATTAATATTATAATTTTAAGCTGTAAGTAGTGTGAGGAAAAAACAGATATAACGAGATTTAATAAATCAAATAAGTCCTGAAGTAACAGAGTGTATTTTAAAGCAAAAATTACCTTTTTTATTAAATTTAGGAAGAAATGAGAATAGTTTTTTTTTTTTTTTTAAAAAAAAAGAATGTTGATCGTGTGATCAAATATAAAACTAATAAAAAAATGATAACTTGTAATCTCAAAATAAAGGATTTTCATATCATGTGCGAAATCAAGAATATAGAAACTTAATGAGAATATAATGAATACTGTAGAAGAAATTTTGAAACGTAATAAAAAGATAACATATGATATTATCAAACTTCTATTCTCTTGCCAAAAATTTCTAATATGGATTTCGGCTATGTATTGAGTTTCACTAAAAAATGATTCAATCCACCTAATTTAGAAATTTAGCAGCAGACAAATTCTTAACAATAACTGATGATTAGATCAAGAATAATAATCAATAATTATTATTAACAAAATTTTTTTTTGCGAAATCCATCTCTAAAATATAGTTAGAATTTTTTTCTCAGAAATATGAGTACAATATCATCTATTATAATATAATTAAATAATACCAATTCTATAATATTCTCACTAAGATTCTTTGTTTTTTGGTTTCACAATTTTAGGACAAGATTGTTTGATATAATAATTTGGAAATCCTTGATTTTTTTGGATCACAAGATAATTATTTGAGAAAATCTTTTTTTTTTATAACGCCTATCAAGTTGAAAATAATATTATAGTTTTCATTATTTATCTGATAGATTGGCGAGCAGACTGCTAAATATAGCATATGAAAATAACAATCCATCGGGTATTACTGCAAATAAACTATTAAATAATAATCATGAATAATGAATTAATTATTTATATAAACGTAACCATTTAAAAATAAACAAATATTTTTTGACATGTTTATTTTATAAAGTATCCGAAAAGAATTTTCACTCTACCATTAGTGTAACAATTAAATGATCCATATAAAAAATTCCGCGCTTACAATAATTAACTATAAATTAGAACAAAAAACTAAGATTAAATGATATCGAATTAGTCCCAAATATATATATTTTTTTCATGTAAAAATTGTTTCAAATTGAATAGTTGTTAATATATTAATATATTCTAACTATATATTATAAATCTGATGTATAAGATGAGAACTTAAGAATAAATTATATTTTAACTGATGTAATTAATCTTAACATGCATGCTATCATTTATATTAATAATTAAATCATCGACTGCATTGGAATCAATAAAGATAAAATAAAAAGTTTAATTAGTGTATTGAAATTTCCGTTAATAATATAAATAAAAAAAAAAAAATTTCAACCATACCGATACTTCTTTTTTTAGATGTATACCTTGATCTGATGTAATTATTACTATTTTGTTCTCAAGTACGCAGAATGATTGTATAAATTATATTATTAATATTATCCCACGTTTTTAATAGCTTCTTTGATTAATTAAACATTTAAATTGAAAATGTGGTGCATAATATAATAGTTAATAATTATCACACATCACAATCAATAATTGAGATTATCAAAAGTTCCAGTCTAGAATTTAGACTAAACAGAATTTGGAAATATGAAGTGTGAAAACTATTTAATTTAATAATTATAACAATCAAACAAACGCGACAGAATATTTAATCATTTGTAAATTGTATAGATATAATAATTATATATTTAAAATTACAGTAAAAAAATAAAGTTAGAAAAATAAAAAATTAAATATAAAAGATCTCTAGAATTCCTCACTTTCGAAAAATCAAAATTTCAAAAATTTTTAAAATTCATCATTTAAACGACAATTTTACCATGACAAAAAGAAATTTCTCAGAAATGAAAAATTGCTCAGCTTCCCCTAGAAGATCTTTGAGAATAGCGGCAAGAGGTAACAATAATATTATTATTACCTCTTCTCGAATTATCCTTTTTCTCTATAAAAAAAAAAATTAATATTTTATTTTTCACAAAAATTATTATTCATTATGTATTTATTATTAATAACAAATTTTTATTCTTTATTTTATTTTCAAATAAAAGCCGCATTACCACAACCAGAATCACTCTCAACCACCACCCCACCAAAGAAGAGAGGTCGTCCACCAAAAAGGGGACGTGGACGACCTAGAAAAGATAAATGCAATATGACAGAAGGTAAAAAATTATTTTTTGAATTTTGAATTAATTTAAAATAATTTTTATTAATTATAAATAAATATTATTTATTTAAAGAAACTGTCAAACGTCCACGTGGCCGGCCACCAAAAAGGCCAAAAATTAATAATGAAAATAATAATATTAATAATAACAATAATAATAATAACAATAATAATAATATTATTAATATTAATAACAACAATAATATTAATATCAATAATAATAATAATATTAATAATAATAATAATAATCAAATTGATAATAATGATGATGTAAGCATAATCGTAAATTATAATATTTTTATAATTGATTAATTTCTAATTTATATTTATTAATTTTTATTTCAATTTTATAGGATGACGAAAGTGAAGACGAAGATGATAACTTGACACAATTTATATATGATGATAATCCATTGATATTGCTGGCTAATGCATCTTTATTCGTTTCAAATTAAATTTTAAATATCTTTAAATCTAAAAATATTTTTTTCTTTTTTTTTCTTTTACTAAAATTTATCATGTATTTCCAATTTTTAAATAAAAGAATTTGTGACAAAAAAAAAAATATGCGTCTTTTTTTTGATTAATTTTTTTATTAATGTGAAAATATCAAATAATCTAAAATAATGTATTGTATTAAAAATGATATCGAAGAAAATATTAATAATAATAAAAAATTTTATAATTATAAATATAATAATAATAAAAGAAATATAAATGATAAGAAATATACAGTATTTAAATAAAATATGATTAATTAAACATCGGATAGAATATATTTCTAGAATTATAATTAGATTATATATTATTTAAGTTTATTTTAGCTATTATTGGACAATATTGTCGCATAACAGAATAATTTTTTTCTTTTTAATTTGTCTTGTTTTAATTTAAATAAAAATTTTAATAGATGAAAAATTATACCAAACTACCAATAAATATTTTTTAAAAATTCGGCTTTAAGCCAAGTATAATAATAAGATAAGAAAATCGAGGAACAGAAATGTTTATCTTACAAAAAGATCAATATAATTTAAAGATAATTTTTTTTCTGAAAGTATTTTAGTTTCATTTGTAATTTATTGGTTATTTTGATATTTTTTCTATTAACTTAAAATTATGAAAAATTATATTAAATGAAATATTTTTTGAAAAGAATAAATTATTTAGCTTCGAATTTTCGTTTTTCTAAATAAACATGTAAATAATTAATCATATAATAGTGGACTATTTAAAATTATTCAAAAATAACAACTCATAATTAATATAATAATGAATAGAGGATTTAATTTTTATTCGTATAATTTTGCTTCCTCTTCTTTTATTGATATTATTATGTAAACAAATAAATTAATTTTTTTAAAAAAATAATCAAATTATAATAACGGTGATACAATTGTTTTAATGAATATTTTATTTAGCATAATAAATTATCAGTTTTTAAAGAATAAATCTACTGCAATAATACTAACTCAACAAATACTTAAACTTTAAACTGATTATTTGGCAATCAAATCAAATGAAATTATAAAATTTTATATTTATTAATAATAAAGAATATAGAGTAAAAAAAAAATCATAATCATAATAAATCATGCATATTTTTATTATATTCTATTGAAAAATATTAATTAATTATTTAACTCATTTCAATATCGTATCAGATTAAATTTTTTTTTTCATTTTTTCTTCTATTCTGATTATAATCAAAAATTTCCATATTCGCTCAGGCAAAAATAATAATTGTTTGCTTGTGCCTCAATTAAAATAGAAATCTTTAACATGTTATTTTTCTTGAGTCAAGCGGATTGTTTTACATATATGGAATAGCATTAAATTTTTTTGATTATCTTTTATTATTTTTGAAAAAATGCTATCCCACCCCCGAAGTAATATTAATATAGATTATTGTATTGTATTAAAAAGCTAATTAAAAAAAAATAATAATAATTTTTTTTTTTTAATGAATTTTTTTTCCCTTGTGATTAAAATAAAATAATAATATAAATAAGTAAAAACATGTTATTGATTTTTCAAAAAGAAGTTTATTCAATGAAATGATGACAATAAATGTAATTATTGAAATAAATAAACGAATAAATGATTTTTAATAATAAATTTTAGAATGATTAATTAATTAAAAATTAAAGTTATTGAATACATGATTTTATGAAAAATTTTTAAAATTATTAAATACTTAAAATAAAATAATAATTGAATAAGAAATTTTCGAATACAAAATATTTTATTATAAATTAGTAAACTCTAATTTTTTATTGATATAAAATTTTCATCGTAAGTCTATTTTTTAGACAATTAAAGTACAAGAATATAAATAGTATCCTATCAATTGATCGTTTCAATTGGCTGTTGTATATCTAAATTTTTTTTTTTTGAAAAACTGACCGATAACACCTGATATTTATTATTCTATATAAAATATTCATTATAAAAGTTATATTGTATCACTGTTATCATGAATCTTTGAGGCCAATAAAGACGGAAATCTATGAGACCAACATAATATATATATTTATTTATTTATTTAATTATCTGAATGTGATAATATAATAATATAGTATTTGACAATAAAAAATAAAAGCTTACGAATCTTAAAATATGTGTACATGAAAAGAAAAAAGGGTCAATTTAAATAGAAGAATAGTATCATTATTACATTGATTAATTAAATAGAAATAAAAAGTTTAGCTTAATCATATTATTGTATTTGGAAAAAAAGCTTATTTCTTCCCCGAAATATTTATTTTGTTGTAAATAATTAGATAATTTAATCATTAAGAATAAACGACTTAATTTTTTTTGAGAAAAATCGAAATTAAATTAATGCATTTCGAAAATGATTTAATCGTTATAAATTATAATATTATTTACTAATTGCACAATAAATAAACGTGTTGTATATATAATATAATTTTAAATATTAATTTTAATAAAGTATTAATAAAAAAAATAGTCTATTATTTATTAAATAATTATTCATTAATTATCATGTCAAAATTAGTGAATAATTATACACTTAAATTACTTAAATTGATTTATCTGTTTTGATTAATAATTGAATAAATAGATATTCGTTATTATTTTGTAAAAATTTGTAATTATTTTGTAATCTTTTTTATACTTATGTGAATTTATATTATTAATTATTTATTCTTAAAAATTCTTTAAAATTCCATTCATATTAATGATTTTATTTATATTGACTTTATCTATTTATCAACTATTTCTTTGATTTTTGCTAATGATTTTTGTTACTACCATATTTCTTCTAATTATGATTTATATTCTCTCAGCAAGATGAATAGTTTCAAGCATCTCAACAGTAATGGAGAAGGTTCATCCACTAATTTAGAAAAAAAAAAGACAGCCGAAGTTGAGGATGGTTCATCATCTGGAGGAAAAAGGAAAGAGAGAAGGAAAGCAAAATTTAGGAAAGGTTTTAGTTTAAAATGGGACTATACATTTATATTTAATATAAACATATTTTTTTTAATTCATAACAGAAACTAAAGAAAGAATTGAACAAGCATAAATGAGCACATGTATTTGATTGAACATAGAGAAATCAACTTGACGCAATGTGAATACACGATTTCAGGTCCAACTGACGTGTATTCAGAATAAATTAATTATGTATTACAAGTTTTTATTAGGTCACCAAACTCACAATGAAGAATGGTATAAAGATCATTTATCAAAGAAATTCCACTTCTAGATGTTGTTTAAGATTACTGTAACACCAGCAATTTGAAGATCATACTATAGACATTTCTGATTACTTCGCTAGAACTTATTAACATTGGAAGATTGTGAAGAATTGAGGTACAAAAAAAAATCAATTAAATTTATAAATTAATGAATATGATCACTTTTTTTTTATTCGACAGTGAAATGAATATAATTCTAATTTAAAAATTGGTGAAATAACATAATAGCAAACTTAATAGGAAGCTGGATAACTGATATAATTAGAATTACTTGTCATTTGTGAGCAACAAGATCAAGTAAGGTGTGGATATTATTTATTATTTTGGTAATGAAACCATCCAATAATCCGGGTAGGTCAGTTCCGATGATATTGCATAGAATTTTATTTTAAAAATCATATATATGTTTATATTAAAATTTTTAACGTCCCACCAGTTGCTTTAAAATTAACCGAATGACAAGCATTTAAATTCTATAATTATAAAAATTATTGTAGAAAGTTTAAGGACCTATTATTTGGTCAATTTTAAGCAATAGGTGCGCCAATTTCACAGAGGGTGCACTTCATTCTCAACTTTGAAATTTCTTAATAACATTTTTGATATTTAATTGTTTTATAAAAGACTTTTATATGTAGCAATGATCAATACTTATTTTTGAAATTTAAAATTGATAAATTTCAAAAATAAGTATCAAACATTTCTACATATTAGAGTCATTCATTTAACAATCAAATATCAACAATTCTATAATAATTTTTAAAGTTGAGAATGAAATGCCCTCTCTGTGAAATTGGCATGACTATTGCATTTAAATTAATCGATTTATAAGTCCTTAAACTTTCTACAATAGCTTAACTTTTACAATTTTAAAATTTAAATACTTATCATTCAGTTAATTTAAAGCAATGAGTGTATAATTTTACAGCAGATGTATTTTATTCTCAATTTTGAATTTTCTTAGTAGAACATTTGATATTTATTTAGTAAATACTTTCATATGCAACAACATTTAATACTTATTTTATTAAATATGTAATTTTTTATTAAATACTAGTTGTATAACTATGGTTATTTAATAATTATGTAATATGATTAATAATATGTAATACAGTTTAATCATTGTATCTAATATAATAAAATAACTTTTTTTTAAAAAAAAATTTTCGTTTATTTCCTTTTTACGATTTTATTTTATTTATACATAGTTATTTCTTTTTTATAATATTATATACAAAAAAAGATGTCTTATCTGAAAAAAATAATATAGATAGATCAGTGATGAAATATGTTACAAAAAAAACAATTTTTAATTAAAATTACATACAATGTTCTTAAAAAATCAAATTAGTTATGTACATAACATGATATATCAAATGATACAACAATAATTAAATGTCAATAAACATCAGAATGTTCAATAGGAAGTATATTATTGAAATTTTAAAAAACTTCACAATATACAATATTTTTAGTCTGACAGTTTTGGCTCATTCTTGCTTTATCAGAAATAAGAGCCTTGATATTTCGATGAGAAGTAACTCTTGATAAAGCAATGTACAATTGATCATGTGAAAAAACAGGCAGTGGTAGATAGAGATCAACATTATTTAGGATCTGGCCTTGTGATTTGTTTATGGTCATAGAAAATTCAACATGTACTGGAAACTGATGCCAGTTAAGGATAAATGGTAAACCAGTATATGAGGGGGTTAAAGTTATTTGTGATATGAAGATACATTTACCCAATATTTGTTTCTATGATTATTTCCAAATCAATAATTTTGTTTTGAAGCCTATGACAAATTAGTCTAGTTCTACTTTTAATTTTAACTCACAAGGAGGAAGGTCAAAAATCATTAAGGATCTTAGAAATTCTGATGAATAAACTTGAGACTACTCTGTATCATTATATTTTGGCAAATTCACTGAGTCTGTGCTAGAATATGTATAATATTATTATTCTTGAATTAATGAAATTAATTACAAATTATTAGTATAACCTGAAATTGGAATAATACTTAATGTTGATGAATTGGAATAATACTCAACAATAATAAAACTGGAAAATAATTAATGAATAAAAGTTAATGCTATAAGTAATGATGAACTTAAAAGATATTAGAATAAATTGAAATAAATTAGATGAAAGGTCTGATTTCCTTTCTAAAATAATTGAATCAGTGGTACCTTCTAAAATAACTAAACAACAGTCTTACCTTTGGGAAAGGACTATAAACTCCTTAAAAGAACCATTAAGTCACTACACTAGTTTGTCCTCAAGGAAACCAGAAACCACTAGTGAAAACGACTAGATATTTTAGAAACTCACATTTGGAAAATCACTGAATCACATTATAATTAACTAGACAAAGAAGAGAGCAATGATACTGATATAGATGTGGAAGATATAGAATCAGTTTTTGATACTATAGAAACTACATTAGAAGCAAACAAATTGTCAACATATAACAAAATTCGTCAAACAATGCAACAAATAATGGGTAGAATGGAATCTCTTGAGAATAGAGTCACCATGTCACAGGTTGAAAACCAATTTTCGGGTTCAAATCGGGTACCTATCAGTACCCGATGACCATATTAATTTTGTTAAATTTCGGGGTACCCGATAGTTGGTAATATAAAATTTTAGATTAACTTTATGGTAGCTACATATAAAAGTTTTTAATTTTATAGTTACGTTGTCAATATATCATTATGTAATCTTGTATATAATAAAAATATGCATTGACTGTAAAAATATTAGCTCTATATAATTAAAATTGAATGAATTATAGGCGTTTTAATTCGTACGGTCATTCAAAATTTGATCGTTTATAATTCTCTTAATTTTAAATAACTAGGTCTAATATTTCTACAGTCAATGCACATTTTTATTTCTATGAGTCTACTTAGTAGCATTTTTACAATTAGATTATGTATTCAAAAACTTTATGATTATCGGGTATAATTTATCAAAATATAAAATCAGAAATAATTTGCAAATGTAGCTACATAAAAAAGTTTTTAATTATATAACCTAATCGTAAATATTCTATTAAGCAAACTCACAGGCAATAAAAAATTTGCATTTAATGTAGAAATATTAGCCCTTTTTATTTAAAATTAAGAGAATTATAGACGATCAAAGTTTGAACGACCGTACGAATTAAAACATCTGTAATTCTTTCAATTTTAATTATATAAATCTAATATTTTTACAGTCGATGTATATTTTTATTATTTACAAGATCACTTAGTATTGTATTGACAATTTAATTATTCTTAAGTCAAAAAAATATTTTTTAATTCAGACATTAAATTAATTATATTGGAGCTAAGCCCATTAATAAATAAAATACCTTGAAAGATATATTTATGGGGGAATTGTTGATATTAAAAATTCTGATGCCAAAACCATTTATGGATTAATGAACAATTCCAATGAATTGGAACTTAAAGAACTATCAAGAAAATTGTGAAGATACCTTATTGAATCTAAAGTTTCCTGGTTAAGAACTTATTTTTCTTTTGTTTATCATTCAATCTTTTGATGTAAAGTCTCATTATTTTCTTCAATCAAAAATGTGCAAGAATAATTAAATTACATTTTTAATAAAATTGAAGCAAATATCCAAAAAAATTTTAGTAATAAATCATATTAGAATTTTTTTAAAGATCACAGGTCAAATACAAAATACTGAAAAGAAATTCCAATTTTAGATGATTTAAAATATAGGATGCAATAGGTCAGTCATTTGTTACTGATTTTTAGATGATCTATAGTATAGGAATTCTGATTTTTAATATAGGAATCATCATTTGGTACAGTGATTCTTTTGTATTTGACTAGTGGAACATGACTATTATTTTAATTACTCTTTTTTTAATACATTATCATCACTTGTACAAAAAATTATTAAGCAAATAAATACTTTTTTTTTGCCATCCATTTTGCACATGGTTAAGGAAGTTAGCTTTGAACCATTATGCAATAGTTTTTAGGATGTAAAACTTTTTTTTTACATATTCAGTTAGTTTAGATCTCCCATTAGAGTTCCGGTATTAGAAGCAATTTCAAAGCTTCTTACTAAGGATTTGAGTGGATTTATTTCATTCTTGATTCAAATTTAGAATTTTTTTACATAATTAAACTTATATATTTAAAAAATTCATTCGTTTATTTATAAAATTATAAAATTCAAATTTTTGTAAAATTCATACATTTATAAAAAAAAATGGGGAGAAATCAAACGGCCAAATGAAAAAACCTCATTAAGATCATGGTGTGATTCTTTGTGTACATTGAAGGATGATTTGGAAGGATTTTCAATGTAATGCATCAACTAAAAAAGATACTTGTATTATAGACTAAACAATAAAAAGCAAAAAAAATTACATATATCATCAATTAATAAACTTACTTGATCTTTCAATTCATCCTTTTTCAACTCTGCATTGGAAACCTTTAAATTATTCTTGTAGGCTGCTAACTCAAAATTAGAGGTCTTTGTTTCAGATTCCTTAATTTGTGAAGTTAGCTTGATGTTGGAAGCTTCTAGCTCTCTAATTTGTGCAGCTAACTTGTAATTTGAGATCTTTAATTCTTTATTCTGATCATTTATTTTAGTGTTAGAGGCCTCTAATTCTTTGAATCTAGCGGTTAACTCAGCATTTGAAGATTCTGCTTTTTTAGTTTGTGCAGTTAATTCTTCATTTAGAGCCTCTAATTCTTGGTTGCACACATTTAAGTTAGCGTTTGAAGCTTCGAATTCTTTCTTCTGATAGTATATTTCAATATTAGAAGCTTCCAATTCTTTAATTTGAGCAATCAATTCTTTGTTAAGTACATCTAGCTCAGCATTTTTGGCCTCTAATTTTTTGTTTTGTGTGTCTAATTTAGCAATGGTAACAACCAATTCATTTTTCTTCGAGTCAAACTCAGCATTGGTAGTTTTCAATTCTTTCTTTCGTGTTTCAAGCTCATCCTCCAACACCTTCATTTGGGTTGTTAATGCCAAGTGTTTGAATTTCCATTCAGATTTTAATTTTGAATATTTGTTGATAAAGTTTAAAGAAATATTTTTAATTTTTTCTTTTTTGAAAGCTTGTGATGTTATCAAGTTAAAACTTGAAAGTTTGAAAGCTTTTGGAATCTTAAAATTTGTTTTAAATAGATTTTTATAAGCCTGAAAAGTGTAAGATTAATAAAGAAATAATTAGAAACGTTATAAAAAAAATTTATAAAATGTTATCTAAAGAATAAGTTAAATATATTACATGTAATTTTTCGTTTGTTTTTTCAAATGGCTTTGTTTTTTCGATGCCCACAATTTTAGTAATAAAAGGTGATTTTGATTTACTTTCACAAAAAATTAATGAATTAGATAAAAGTTCTAGAAATGATGATTTTTTCGAGTTACTTGATGGATTCATATCTAATAATTATAAAAGAGAATAAAAGTTTGTCAAAAAAATATTTAGAATATTCGAAAAAAAATT